AATTTATGACAAAAAGCTCTTTCTGCCACAGTGATCCACAAGTTGCAAGCCCAGCAAAAATCGAGTAAAACTCGACTTTTGCCTTCCAGAAGTGGAGTTTTAATCGAGTTTAAAAGTGGATTCTTCACTTGCAATGGTTGTGCCATATCTGGATGAAAACTCAAGCAAAAATCGATTAGGATCATGCCAATCATTTCTCATAAACACTAAAGCTAAAAATGGGTGTGTTAAGGTTCTCAAATGTAAATGTAAAATCGTAAAAGAAAAATTATGACTGAAATAAAGTCTGACCGGATTTTGAATTATAAAGAATTATGTAGTGTATTTTATTGTAATATATAAAGTCATTTGTTAAAGTTCTGGTATAATTGTTATTTATTATTAAACAAAACAGCAAAATAATGCCAACATTTTTTGCGAAATATATTGATAAGAAAATACTATACTTCTATATGTGCAGTGATAGAGTGGGGTTAAGATGTGTTTATACTGTTTACAAACTATTTAAAGTTTCAATTCTTTGTTCTTTAAAGTTTAATTAAATTAAATTAAACATATTATAAGTTTTAAAACTATAACTGGGGGTTTCTCCATTTATTTTATGAAACACTAGCTTGGGAACCAAGTGCTGCCAAGGTTACTAATTATAGTTACTCCCGGCGTTTACCCGCACATGAACGATTTTATAGGGAAACTAAATTTTCGCTGTTAAAGTCGACCCACTCATCTTAGAATCTTGAAACCATCGTGGGCCTTTCGAGTTTCCAAGTAAAAATCTGAGACAAATCGGTCCCGGGGTTCCTAAGTTTTGATCGGAGTGAAATGGGTCTAATTAAAATTGCACAATTGTTGTGTCTCATGTTAATTGGAATATTTAAAAACATTTTAACTTTAAAGTCGTCTTCCGATTCTGGTTCTCATGTAAATATTTGTTAAAACAATTGCAAATTAAAATATTTCTAAATCAATATTCCGAAGCATTTGTTGCTTATATATTACAGCTAGAGAAAAACAGTTTTGAAAAACAACTTTTTACAGTTTTTTTTTAAGGGGACAGTTAAAGAAAACGAAAGAAACAACAGTTTAAAAACAACAGTTTTCAAGAAAATAACTTCCAGTTTTAAAAAAAGCATGAAACCGTGATATGAATTTACAAAAATTAACAATTAACCAGACATTTTTTTTTAGAAAACGACGATATTTTTCATTTTGAATTATGGTTTTGTGGTATTGTTTTTGTGATTGCCCTAAATCATGGCTTCAGTAAACTATGTCAATAAAATGCAGAAAAAGCCGATATCAGAATTATTGGAATTGATTGATTAATTGATTTTCCCAGTAAAAAGATATCTTGGCTTAAAAGAACATATATTTCTTATTCACAGCTTTTTCACTCAAACAGGGTCACGTGTTCATCAACAAAGAAATCTAGTTTTTGTTTACTACAGTCTTTTTTTAACGTTACCAAATCAATGTTAATTTCATAATAATAATTTTTGTCACAAACTCTACTTTTCGAATCTCTATATCTTTGCTAACCAATGTCGTTGACCTTTGATATTTCAAACTATGAATTCTGTTAGACCAAATAATCTAAGTTTGAAATATCAAAGATTTACGACATCAGATTGTAAAGATGTAGGGATTAGACAATCTGAGTTTGTGACAAAAACTCAGTTCCTTCAGTTTTCTCCACCAACTCAAATGTTCTAATTCTTAAATCTTTTCAAACCTAAGAAATATCTAAGGTCTACGTAGGGTTGGGCAAAGTTCCGTTAACGGAACGGAGGTTTTCGAAAATTAACGGGAGAGCCCGTTAACGAACAGCAAAAGCCATTAATATCTTCAAGACATTGATTAGCCTTTTTTTTTAATGGAAAGTAAAATTCTAATTAGCAAAGCTAAAAAGTGAAAGTTAGGAAGGTATAGATCTAATATTTTTTCAGATAATGCGGGACAGAAAGCTGAACTAGAAATTATTACAATGGTGGTTTCAGTCTCTGCTTGTTTATCACATTGATTACAGATTATATAAATTGTATTCTTGTAAATTCTATAATTTGATATCTCATAGATTACTTATTTTTAGATTGTATTTTTGTTAATTGTAAAAAGGGGTTATCCCATAGATTACAGATTTTTTAGATTGTATTTTTGTTAATTGTAAAAAGGGGTTATCTCATAGATTACATATTTTTTAGATTGTATTTTTGTTTATTGTAAAAAGGGGTTATCTCATAGATTACATATTGTTTAGATTGTATCTTTGTTTATTGTAAAAAGGGGTTATCTCATAGATTACATATTTTTAGATTGTGTCTTTGTTAATTGTAAAAAGGGGTTATCCCATAGATTACAGATACATGATTGTATTCGTATATATTGTATAGTTTGATTATCTCATAGATTCCAGAATATACAGATTGTTTTCATATTGTATATAAATTGTTAATCAGCTCATAGATTAAATACTAAACAGATTGAATTCTTGTTTTTTTTTGGAGAAGTTCTTTATCTCATAGATTACATACTAAACAGATTGAATTCTTGTTTTTTTTTGGAGAAGTTCTTTATCTCATAGATTAAATACTAAACAGATTGTATTCTTGTTTTTTTTAAGAAGTCCTTTATCTCATATATTTCATAATAAGATACTAAAGATATACACGTTTAAAGGTTTACCTTCAATAGAATAAGTGTCTATAGAGAGGGACCGTCCCTTTCCGCTCGAATTCTGAACGAAAAATCGGCTTTTTCTCCGGCCACAGTTGTCTTTGAAAAGAAAGACTAATAATACCAATCAACAGCGAATACGCTGTTTAGTTTACCCTGAAATTACCCAAATAAGTGAACGGTCCCTTTAAAGGTTATCACTTTTAATATTCTATTTTTATAACGACAAATTTTATCCCACCCTGTATGATTACCCGTGACCTAGATATTACAGTGATAAATATACATTCATGAGTTTACTTTGTGAGTAATCAGAATTCAGAACACAGTGTAATCAAGTTGGGTTTAGTTCTAGCTCCAGTAGTGCGATACAAGTATTTATATAAATATATATATTACAAGGCTGTCAGGGCGCTTCGTGTCCATCTTCTATTTCAACTTTTAATTATTACTTTAACTGTAAACACCCTAGAGCAATTACAAAAAAGTTCGCATATTTAATCATATTTTTTTCAAGAATTTTCAAAGTTTTATAAAAGTTGGCATTTTTAGAGACAAAATTTTGAAATTTTGATCACTCATGAATCTTCCCTTGAATCATGTGAGGTCCCTTAAAAAATTTGGGCCCGAGCTGTTTGGCTATTTTAACGTTTATCGGTTACACACAAACAGACAGCCAAGCAAGTCTATATTTTCGAACATATATATATAGTTATATATGATATGTATATATGTAGAAGAGGGAGAAAATCTACAGAATTGATTAAAAAACTGTTTAAAAGTTTCCCATTAAACATGCGGGTGCCCCCCCCCCCCCCGAGGCTTTTTAGGGTTAAATTTGTTTGTGGATATTATTTTGGGATTTGGTCTAATTTTACAATTTTAGACAAATGAATAAATCATAAAAATGAAATTAATTTTGATCAGGGGCTTTGGAATTCTCAGGAAATCATCTTAATAAAAATATTTAATTAGAACATTTTTATCAAAAAACCTTTTGACTAAACTTTTCTAAAATTTTCTCGAAATAGCGTGATTCAAAATGCTTTGCAAATAGACCATACTGGCTAGGGTCAAAGTTCAGGAATAATTTTTCTTTTAAAACATTAATTTCAGACATTTTTACTTAAACGGTAGTCTTGCTCTGACTGTTATTGTTCTTCAAATATATGATTATGTACTAAAGTGTAAATTATTCCAACTGTAAGACGACCTTCTCTGTCATTTCTATAACTCAGAACCTTTCAAGATATAAAAATTGGATGATGTTAACTCTGTTCTGAGCCTCTGCTATGCAGACACGAGCCTTCCAGATTTGCTAGGCAGACCGAGCCTCCACTATGCAGACCGAGCCTCCACTATACAGACCAAGCCTCCGCTATGCAGTGAACGAGCCTCCTTCATACAGAACAGATTATTTTTAAATCTTGGTTTTTTATGTATAATGAAAAATGTTACCAATTTTTTACACGAAAAGAAAAATATTTAGAGAAAAAAAATTGCATTAAATTTCATTTAATCTTTTATAATCTTTGATTTAAGCAATACCATTTTTTGTAGTTCAAATTAAATCTAGAAAATTTGTATAATTTGTATAAGTTTTAGTATAAACCTTATAAACCACTTATTGAGTCCATTTATGTTTTTAATCAAGATAATCTATAAATAAATCTAATCTTTAGTAAAATTCTTAGGCCACTACGTCAAAAAAATAGTTAACATTTTTTATTACACATAAAAACCAAGATTTAAAAAAAGCTATNAGGCTTGGTCTGCATAGTGGAGGCTCGGTCTGCATAGTGGAGGCTCGGTCTGCCTATAAAATCTGGGAGGCTCACGTGTCAATATAGCAGAGGCTCATGGCGTCCGTGGGTTCCCTCCCTTGTTCTGATTGGGCTATCTTTGTCTGATATAGATTGGGTGGGGAGGGATATGATTTATTTGCTTTAAAAATTGAGATATTGGAGTTTGATACAAGTCCCTAGTTCAACTGTTAAAGGCCTGCTTATTAAAATTTAAAAAATACCACTTACTTCAATGGTTAGGGTGCAAGGGAAAATTTTAAAACATTTAAAAAAAGACATCAGAAAAATGTTGAAAAAAAGTTACTTTTACCTTTGACCAATATTAACAGGCTAAAACCCTTCTACAGACATTCTTTACAAATAAAAAAATAATTGAACCAATTAATTTGAACATCAATTAAAAGTTCAAAGAAACAGTACGGGCAAGTTTTATGAAACCAGCTAAATTCTTGAAAACTGTTCTTGAGATTAATATTTCGCATTTTTACTAAATTTTAAGAAAAAATAAAACATTTAAAAAGATGATATTATTTTACAAGTGCATTGCTTGTAAACATGTGTACTGCTGAAGGTGAAGTTACAACACTGCAAAAAATGATCAGTATGGCAAAACAAAAACAGGTCAGAATTTAGCTTAGTTTTCTTTTGCAATGAAAATCGTAATGGATTCCGATTAAGAAAAGAAAACTCCAGAACCTTCAACAAAAATGAATAATCAATCTGGATTATTATTTAGAGGCGGTTTTAATTTCAAAACTTGTCAAAATTCAGTCTTTTTACTACAGAACCAGAAAACTGAGAAATAGGAAAACGACACTAAAGCAATATCTAATGTGTATTTGATATTGTTTAAAAGTAAATAGTTTTAACGTGACCTAATCACTAAGTGAAGTATGGTTCGAACAACATGCTGTGTACAATTGCTGTTTCTCATGTTCATTGTACCGTTTTATTAGGGTGAAGAATCTTCAAGTTTTGTTGAAAAAATTCTCCAATTGGAAAGAGAAGGGAAGAATCAAAATGTCGACGCCAGAGATAAATCCGCGAATGCAATCTTTGCAGCAAAAGATGCTCAAAATTCTGGTGACAAAAAAGTGGAAACTTTGCAAAAAATACTTCAGCAGCAAGGTTAATAATAATATGTAAAACAAAACTGATCTACCAGCTGTATCGCTGAATTGAACCTACACTTGTTTTTTGTAAATTCCAATTACAGCTGTTTTTGTGAATTGAGTCTTTACATTTATGTTTGTAACTTGCACAGTGCACATGCATGTAAATTCAACATTTAGCTATTTTGTAATTACACTGACAGCTGTTTTTGTGAATTAAACCTAGCTGAAACCGCTGTTTTTTGTCTATTGAACTTACAGCTGTTTTTTGTAATTTGTTTTAACTGAATTGCTTTTGTTAACTGTTCTTACAGAATTGTTTTCTAATTTTTTTTCCAGAATTTATTTTGTAATCTTTTCTTTCAAAATGCTTTTGGTACATTAATCTTGCTAAGTTGTTTTAGTAAATTTTTCTTGCAGAATGGTTTGTAAATTGTTTTTGCATAATTTTTTTAAATTTTTTTTTGCAGATTTGATTTTGTAAACTTTTCTTTCAAAATGGTTTTTGTAAATTGTTTTTGTGAGTTTGTTTTTGTTAACTGTTATTGCAGAATTGTTTTTGAAAATTCTTTTTAAAGAATTGGTTTTGTAAATTGTTCTTGCAGAATGGTTTTTGATTGAACTTACAGCTGTTTACATGCAATAATAGAGTTTAAAGAAATTAATCATTTACGAATATTTTTGCCAGGGAGCTATGGGCGTGCTCAAAAACCAATCAGGTATCAAGATCTTTCTTGTAAACGTACAATTTGATTACATAATTTTCGGATACTCTGTTTTTTAACAAATAATGACAATATCGATGATAGTAATGAATATAATAATAGTAACGATTTATAATCACAAAAAAAATCAATGATAATAATTATAATAATAATAATTATACCCAGGTTTCCTGATGAGTCGTCTGCTAAAGAGTTGTTTATCAGATCAGATGCTTCAGAGGGCTCTATACCACTCAGGGAAGATCAAAGCAAAAATAAATTTTCGAAATTATAAGACGGACATAAAATAAGGGTTTAAAACGTATTTCTTAAAACCTAACTAAAGAAATAATATCTGTAGAAATGGATTTTTGCTTTGATATTTGCTGATGTATGACAGTTTGAACCCTGAGTCGGAATCAAGAATATCAAACCTGCATTATCATATTCTCTCTAGCGATCAGGAACCATTGATCACTGGACCCGGATCATTACAAGGACACAACCTTGGACACGGACAGTTCCAGGGACCCAACCTTGGACAAGGACAGTTCCAGGGACCCAACCTTGGACAAGGACAGTTCCAGGGACCCAACCTTGGACAAGGACAGTTCCAGGGACCAAATCCTGGACAAGGACAGTTCCAGGGACCTAATCAAGGACCTGGACAGTTCCAGGGACTTGACCAGGCACCAGGACTATTCCAGGGACCAAATTCTGGACCTCACCAGGGACTTAACGGAAATAGTCAAAATCAGGGATTTATCCCTAATCCCTCTTTTGGACTGGATCCAACTCTGGGACTCAACTCTGAAATTGGATTAAATCCGAACCAAGGTTTTAACTATGAAAACGGATTAAATCCAAATCAAGGATTTAACTTTGGGAATAGGGTTGAGCCTAATCCTGTGTATGATACTGAATTCTTCAGCTATGATGAATTGAATGTAGAGAGTGGATCAAAACCCATTAGACAGGTTATTATAAACTTGCAGATATTATTCATTTAAAGGGATTGTAAGCAAAACTCACGGGACCTTCCGACCATACAAAATGTTGATGCCCAATCTAAAACTTCAACCTTTAAAAGCTTTGTCTGATTAAGTATGAATAAGAAATTCATGTTGTTTTGATTAAATTGTTTAATTTTATGTGTGGTTTCTCTACAAATAAACACTGCCAGTCAGATTAACGTTTCAAGGGTACAGACCCCGGACTAACTAGAGAGAGAACATTCGGTTTCTTTTATTTGAAATCAAACGTATTTTGGTCTATAATTCAACAACCTTTAATATGACCACATCTATCAAAAGAAAAAAAATGTAACCTAATAACTAAAAAATATTAAGGGTATATTTGCCAAAATATAGTGAAATACAAAGAAAAATTCTGTGACCCCGGGATCAAGAATCATTCACTGGATATCTTGTTGTGTTTAGAAGATATGGGCATCTTGTCGTGTTTAGAGATGGGCATCTTGTTGTGTTTAGAGATGGGCATCTTGTTGTGTTAAGAGATGGACATCTTGTTGTGTTGTGTTTAGAGATGGGCATCTTGTTGTGTTTAGAGATGGTCAACGCGCCCATTTCTAGTTGCGTTGGCCGGTCGTGCTAACATTGATAGCTAAAATTGAGAGAACAAGCTTGTATCTCTTATAAAAGTAAAAATCAATATATAGCGTTGTAAATTGGCCAAAATGATTTGATCAATGAAAATTTATTTGAAATTTAAAGTAAAGTGTCACAACGGTAATTGTTTTCATACTATTAAAGTTTGGAGTCCAAATTGCGCTAAATAAAAAAATGCTATTTTATATCTATATTGTGACAGAAAATTTCAGATAATGAATCTCAATGGCTGCAGTTATGAATGCATAAAATTAAATTCTAATTTAATGATTTTTAGATTAATTGTTTCACCGGGAGAAGATTATACAATTCAGTTTGAACTAGGTAATTTCATCTAGAGTAAACACATTAAAGAATATCAAAGACGACCTTGGATATGTTTGGTTCAATATCTCAAACTTTCCTTTAAAAGTAAACATTTTTTGCATTTTTTTAAACATTTAAAAAAAATCAAGGTTTCTCTCTCTTGTAAAAATCCAAAAATTTTTAATTATTAGTTTAAAAGTTTGATTTATTTTGCATACAGTGGTAGGTAGGCGATTATATCAATACAATAAAGGCGACTTTTTATTTAAGTAAGTTTGGGAGAAGTTTGTTATTGACATTTTTGCTTGACTTCTATGCTTATGTGTATCCATGATGTTTAACAGCTTGAAATAAAAAAATTGAAATCAAAAGTCGTCTTTTCGTATTGATATATGCGTCGACGACTGTATTTATTTGCTCTAATTATTTGATGCAGAGGTTCGAGGGGTCGGAGGAGAATATCGACTAGGTGTAGTAGATCGAGGACTAGGTGTTGTAGATCAGGTTCAACCTACTCTGGGTAGGTCTGGGAGTACTTCAAACAAAACCAGAGGTACTTTAAGTTAAACTAGGAGTGGTTATGACGTAGATATGGGCTTATGGGCAAACCTTAGAAAACGAAACAATTTCTATATAACTACAGAAAATCTACTAAAATTGGACTCCTTCCTCCTCACAATTTCATTTAAGTATGGTATGAAAATAAACGACACTTTTCCAAACTTTAAATATCAATCTTATTTCAAATTTAAAAAAGAATTTAATTGAATTTGCAAAGAAAAGACTAAAAAGATTGAAAATAGTAAAAGGTATGATCAAACATTTTTGAGTCGAACCTATATCTTTTTTCACAACCCTTAAAGCCTATTTTATTTTTTCAACATAAAAATTAAATCTATAATTTCCATTTCTAAAAGTTGTTAGTTCATCGTCGGAAAAAAACTTAAGGTTACCTTTCCTTTCATTTGCCCTTTTTTTTAATCGGGGGGAAAAATTCCCACAACCTCTATTTTTGGATTTTTTAAAACATTTTCTCCTGAAACACTTAATTTTTAATGTTTTTGTTATTTATCATAAATAAATAATTACTTATTAACTTACTTACTAGTTTTCACTTTTTACATACAAAAGGCTTAAAAATCTGAGTTGTTTATCATATTTTAAAAACCAAAATGAAAAATTAAAACGATATATTAAAGGGACTGTAGGCGTATTTTCAAGTGACCCTCATATATGCACAAAAGGCAATGCCCGATTTACAATGGTACCCTTGAAACTTTTATCTGATCAATAAAGTGTAAGATGTTGTCGGTTGTCTAGTATTAAAATAATTTCTTTCTAATAATTCCTTTATGTTTTCCTAAAGTAGAAAGTAGAGCATTGCCATCTCAATGCACAGAGGGTCACTTAACCCTATAAAGGGGGTCAGGGGGGGCGTTTGGCGCCCTCTTGACCCATTTGATAGGGTTAAAATTACGCGTACAGTCACTTTAAACATTTTGCTCAAAGGCATAAAGAAAGAGTGTAAAGAATACAATTATTACAGAAATATGACATGCTTGTGCTTCCTCTGAAAAGTGAAAAATATAAAAACTTTAAACTTTAGAAACGAATAAGACAATATATCCATCTTTAGCTGTGAGTGGTGACACTACAGCAGAGAACAAGGAGAATGGTTTCGAAGAGCCCACTTGGATTAGAGGTAATTATAAATCTTTATTAAAGGGACCGTTCACTTGGATTAGAGGCAATTATAAATCTTTATTAAAGGGACCGTTCACTTGGATTAGAAGTAATTATAGATCTTGATTAAAGGGACTGTTCATTTTGATTAGAGGTAATTATAGATCTTTATTAAAGGGACCATTATTGTGACTCCAAATAAAGTTATATTTCAATCTGAGCAGCAATAAATTAGGTTTATTTGTTTAAAAAATAAAAATTTATATTATTTTCCTTTTCATGTCTGCAAGTCACAGAGACATTACAGTTCAAAATTATTATCAACTAGCTGAAGGGCCCGGCGTTGCCTGTGGAAAAAAATGAAGAAAAAAATATTTTGAAACAAAAATTTCGATTTTTTTAGCCTTTGACAATCCCGGCCACCAATGAGTGTCTAAAATTTAGCCCAATCGGTCCAGCCGTTTGGCCGGCTGTACGCAACATATATATATATATAAACGATTGTCTTGTTTTATTATACAGATTTTAAAATAGGAATACCTGTATATTTATCCCTATCACAGTTATCTGGTCTAATGAAGCTTGTACCCTGTAATTTAAAAAAGGGTCCTCTTGGAATTCAGTCGACATTTCCAATCCTATGATAAACTTTACACTAGTTAACAATTAGATTTCTCGTATATAATCAATTATGTATCTACAGTGATACGGCCATACAATTGAGCAGGAATTTTAGAGCGTACCGTTGAATGAACCTTCCGAGTTTCCTTTAGAGGGTTTATTATAATATTTGATATTTTCCACAGCATGGTCTATTGTGTACAAGTACTGTACACGACCAATCAGGAGACATCTGCATATTCAGGGATCCCATGAATAGGAAATGCAAAATCTATAAAATAGACAATATTCATAAACGTTATGTTTTATGTTTAAAATTGGAGTATTTCTTTAAAAGTTGTAAAACTTAACCCTTGAATGCAACAAATGGCCGTTAGATGTCAGTCAAAAAACATTACATGGAACCGTAGTATGGCGTGCCGGGACACTATAGGCCTGCTCAGCCTATCCAGGTTGAGTGTATGAGCAGTCTGTCTAGTCTGTGGTTTACCCATTTGCGTAGAATTTAATTTAAGAAATAAGAAAAACAAAGAGAATGTAAAGAAACCACATGAAATAATATTTCTTAAGAACAATATTGGTAGACTTGATTTGGACATTTAAAATAGTTCTAAACATTGTTTAGGTCGGATGATCTTTCCTGGAGAAACATCTTTCCTGGAAAAGGTTGAACCGAATATTGTTGAGCTGAAACCCCGTGAAAAAAAGACATTCGCCATCTTTGTAAGCTTTTTTATTTAGAAAACAAAGCTCATAAATATTTACTATTTAGCTAATTTGTTAGACCAAATGGGTTAAAATTTGTTGAGGGAACCCACCACGCTTGTATAATGTCGATTCAATTAGAACCTGATCCAATCAGGGTTTAGCCATGTCTATTCTGAACCAATTTATATTCAAAACAAATGCGCTTACATTACACTATATGAAATAATAACCCCGGTCAGAATTTAAAGAATTTGAGTCGCGGCTCGAATATGGTTGGTTCCTCTTAAAATTCAATGTTTCAAGATTTAAGCTCGAAACCGGTTTTTGGCGGATTTGAGA